TTTTAATAAAATAACACACATTTAGCATTTAACAACCTAAACGATTTAAAGTCAAGTAAAAAGTCGGAAATGACTATAGGTGCATATATGGTATAATGTGGCAGAAAAAGATCTGAGTTGACTGCACTAACTTTTGGTATTCAGGTATCCTTGAGAACGTATTTTAAAGCAATTTATAAATTTATAGCTGACTCATTTACCGACATATTCGGCATATGGTTTGTTAGAATAACAAAAATTATTATATGTAGTATACGGGAGTCGGGGTATTTCGTAGATAAATTTTACATACATACTTTCGGTATTAAAATATAGAATATCCAACATTAAACGATCAATTAATTTGGTAATATCATGTTCCCACCAAAAATTTTATGTGATTAGATTGCGCAGATCTCGGTAGGACTTCGACTATCGAGGCTGCAACGACTTGCCTACATCTGCGCGTCGGGCGCGATGCGTACGTGTCCGACTGCAGCACTGGAAGTAATGCTGGAGCTAACACCGTTACATATAGTGATCGAGCAGACGACCAAACAGACCTTGCTTCAAATGTCAGCAAAAGGGTTTGGCAAAGGGAAGGTAATCTCGTCTCAGCAGATGAAGGCCCTAAGTGACGCAATGCCACTGGCCCTTCTTCCAAGGGACAGCACAACAAAACAGTAAGCTTCACTAGGTAGTTCAGGGTTACCCTTGGCAGTAAGGCAGAATGGAACGATTCCACGCTGGACCTACTGCTAAGGCACAGCACTATCATGTGGTACACCGACGGCTCGAAAACGGCGGAGGGGATTGGCGCAGGGGTCGCAGGACCACGGACCAAGCTCTCCATTCCCATGGGAAGTTTTCCTAGCATATTCCAGGCGGAAATATATGCTATAAGTCGATGTGTAGAGATAAACCTCCAACGCGACTATCGCAATAAGAGTATCGCCATACTCAGCGATAGTAAGGCAGCACTTAAAGCGATCTCGGCTTTTGAGGTCAAATCGCTACTAGTGCAGGAGTGTATAGAACGGCTGAACAGCCTATCAAGTCTCAATAGAGTGCACCTCATCTGGGTGCCTGGTCACAGGGGTATAGCAGGAAATGAACTTGCTGACGAGTTGGCCCGCTCTGCAGCCTCTACAAACATAGTAGGACCAGAACCGTGCGTAGCGGTTGGTCCACACACCATTAAAGAGCTGCTCTGTAAAGAGGAAGGAGTAGGCAGGGAGAGACATTGGCAACATCTCCAAGGCATGCGCCATGCCAAGTTGCTAATGCGGGGTTATAACCTCAGATGGTTTAAAACCGTAATCAATCTCCCGAGGAACAAATTCCGGCTACTGGTCGCGTTCTACACCGGTCATTGCAGGCTCAACAAGCATTTATTTAACATGGGCTTGGTCTCCTCTGCAAACTGCCGGTTCTGCGACATGGAGTCGGAAATCCCAGAACACCTACTAGTGGACTGCACAGCAGTCTGCAGAAGTAAAGTTAAGGCCCTGGGATCCATGTTTCCAAACAGGGATCGCATCGTTTCCCTAGCACCTAGCAGTATATTGAAATTCATCAATATGCTGGGGCTAGATGAGTCGCTGTGACTTAGGGGAAGGCACAATAGACCATAGGTCGCGGTGCATTCCTCAATCATTATCTATTCTACACTTACATACTTGATATTGCTTTACTTTCTTACTTTATTTGCGGGTCTAATTTTTTTTCGCTTTGTCAGTTGGTCCTACCTTACCTACCTTATCAACTGTGATAAAGTGATAAATTTCCCTATTGACAAACAAATAGTGCTAAATCAAAGTCGCACAGGGAGATTTTGAGTAGATTAGCTTCAAATCTCCTCAGTGACGAGATTAACAAGTGCCATTTTTGTATGTTGAAATCTTTCTAATTCTATGTTCGCACCAACAGGAAATTCGTGTTTTCATAGACAAAAGAGGTTTTCACGCGAAAACTTGTGTTTTCATCCATACAAAATCTGTCAAACGAAAACACGGTTTTCGCTGAAAACCCCTTGAAAACTTACGTTCCACTCATTATAATCGGTGACTGCTCTAGTTTAATCAATATTATTAGAAGACATATTTTGCCAGCCCTAAATGTCAGTTGACAATTTGTTTACATTCCATAATTGGCCTAAACGTACCCTACAAGAAACTGCTGATGGGTTCACCAATACACTCACATTTGATATGTCAGTACTGTTAATTTACATTTGCATTTTTAAATTCAGAACTATCCACTGATTGGAGAAAGACGTACGCAGAGCTATTGAGAGGAGGAGATGGCATCAAGTGAAAATTTATTTTAATATTTTCATATTTTATTATATTTTTTGTTGCATTCCTTTTTATATTTAAGTATATTATTATAATTAATTTTGATTAAAAGTTTGAAATTTATTAAAGAAATAAAAATTATATTATCTACTGAGCAAAGGAATTTTTCACTTCTGATAGCGTTTCAGTCATAACTGACAATTTTCAGCTATGACGGATTTATGGTCAGCAATGACTCAGAAAAAGACATGAGAGTGAGCAGTATAGATATATAGTGAATCAATTCCGAATACCCATGTGTTAAAGAGAGATGCAAACTCACACATACGTTTGTTTACATCAGTTTTTGCACAAGGCTCTTAAAAAAAGTATAGAAACTTTGTTCTGCGCGCTGACAAAATTGTTTCAGCTATGACTGTCATTTACCCATCAGATGACCGTCACTGTTCTTGTAGGGTACATAACAAATGTAAACAAATAGATGTGTGAACTGTCAATGAAAACTCATCGAAAAACACACAATGTCGGTCAGAACAACACAAATTGTGTTTTCAAGAGGATTTCAATTCGGTGCGAACATAGTATAAATCTAGTATATTAATAAAATAATCTATTCAACAGTTTAATACGAATTTAAAACTGTGTTATATGCGAAGTATGATATTAGGAATGTCAGGGTAAGATTATGGTCCGAACTTGATTGAAATTGATCAAGTAGATCCTAAGATATAGGATTTCACCTAATGTGGGCAATGACATGTCTGTTGTAAAATTTTTACACCGGCTTCCATGAGGCTTTCTCGTACCATCTCAAGTGTAAAATTTGATGTCTCTTGCGCATTAATCGCACTTTTAGCAGTTTTTAACAAAACCGTTATATGAGAAGTGGGATTTTTCTTAAATCTATTAAACTGCAGATGTCCCTCCTTAATGAAATTCGTCAAACTTGTATTAAATAACAGCCCTTTATCTTATTGTAGAGCTTAGGTACGGCAATTTATAAGTTTTCGATTAATCACGTTTTATGGACGTGGCAAGGTCCGACTCCGCCCATCTGCAATGCCAACCTTATCATGGTGCCAAGAAATATGTGTAGCAAATTTCATCGAGATTTCTGAATTATAACTCAAGTTACAGCTTGCACAAACGGACGGACGGACAGACGGGCACCCGGATTTCTGGTCGTTTCGTCATCTTCATCATTTGCATATATATATTATTTCGCGTATTTTTAGGTGATAGGAACAACCTCTTGATATACATAGCTATTATACTCAGTAGCAACATGTTGCGAGAGTATAAAAAAGAAATTGTTTTAAAATTAATAATTTTTCGCATTTGCGTACTTTGTGTTCTACTATTTTAACGAAAGCACGCACAGAGCCATCATCATTAATACTCTAGAGCACTGGACGGCAAAATTACAAATTTAAATAATTAAATTTATTAAATTTTTAATTCTGATACTGGTATTTAAATCTAGTTTTTAATCCCAATATCGAAATCAAAAAGTTAAAATTAAATTTTTAATCTCTACATCATGAAAATAATTTTTTCCCACAATTTTTTAATTAAAATATTCGCTACCCTTTACATGAGTAATGCCAAAAGTTGATGCAATTAGTCTAAACCTTCCCATATCTCCAGTATACCCGATATTGTGATTTTCGACTTTCACCATTTTTTAAACCATTGATTTTGGTCGATATTAATGTTTTGTAGGTTAACCATAATGTGGTGTATCGATGAATATGAATGAAATCTAATTAGAGTCTAAACCTCATATGTATGTATACTAATATGATAAAGAGGAAAGAATTGATTGTTTGAATTGAATAGGGTCCGAAACTACGTGACAGATTTGAGAAAACCGTTGCGAAGCTACACTATCTGCGGTGAATATAGACTGTATTACATTTTCAAATTAGAGATTTACACTATAACGCCAACAATATATCTCAAGTTGTAAAAAAATTACCTAAACAATTTTTTACATTGCGTGCGCTGCGAATACTATTGGTTATACCTAGAACAAATTAATCCGGTTTTACACTTTATACAAGTATATTGGTCATCCTGAGGAAGTATCTTAATGAAACCCAGATGGAATTTTTACTAGTCTTAAATATAATGATTTCCTGATTTTCTGATTAAATATTTTCTGATATACCTAATATATTAAATGTAACCAATTTAAGTTGAGTTTATAGTACACATATCGCAACTGAATTAATAAGGTTGATTTTAAAATAAATATCTCGCACACGAAGCAAAACGTAGTAATGGAACAAAAAACTTTTTTTTGACATTATGGATAAATTTTTTTTCGTAAGAGGAAGCATTCTCCGTAGTCATGGTTACTACTCAATTATATAATATTATATAAGGTTGTGTCGATAGCCAGCGCGTTTTTTAAGTGATAACTGAATACGAATAGATTGTAAATCACACATAATCGTTCAAATGTAAAAAATAATATCATGAGAAAAACAAAAAACAACTGATTTTGTCATTATATTGTATATATTCGTAAGAGGAAGCACACTCTGTATCAACACAACCTAATATAATTGAATCATGACAGTAATCAATATAGCATACATACATATATATTTTTAATCATCAAAAATGGACACAACTCTTAAATTTTTGGCAAAAATTTAATGTTGCCGATTATTTGCATAAAGTAAGTATGATACTTATGAAATCTTGTTTACACCAAAGGTATCATGGATGCGGCGCAAAGGCGATGAGTTGGCCCTGATCACATTCGGTCTTCACACGTACAGTGGTGACGCAAGGTATTCCTTGGAGTTCGAGGAGCCAAATGACTGGAAGCTTTCAATACAATATGCAAATGAACACGACGAAGGACCGTACGAATGTCAAGTCTCTTCACATCCGCCTTTAGTATTGTTAGTATATTTAACTGTAATTGGTAAGTTATAAAGAATTATGCAAATTCACACATGTACATATTTGTGCATTTCTCTGTTTAGCGCCGTTTTTAACTCGTTTGTTGTCAGGGGCATTTTGGCATTAATGTAACACATATCTAAATGATTTATGGTCTATCGGCACATAACGCTGGAAATATCCGAAAGGCTAATATTTCAATTTGGACATGAATTATTAAATATAATGAATGACTCTCATTTGAAGAATTTCGTTTGTAAGAGTCCGTTAACAGAACGAAAGGCTTTTATTGTTACGTCCTGAAGGAAACGTCAGAGATCCAGATATATATACATTCACGAACTAGTCCCTCACAGTAAGATATCGATCTAAAACTTGTCCCACGTCCTTTTCTTCTGAAGTAGCTGCTCGATAAATCGTCTATCTTGTAACTCACTCTTAAGTTTGATCATTGGATTGTTATATAAAAGTCCCAATTTAATGTATATACTTTTATTTTTATTTCTAATTCCAACAACTTAACACTTATTGCTCGTTATTCGAGCTTGCAACTTCTTGCTTATGTCTCAATTGCTCTTAACCCGACAATACTCTAACTAGAACTGTGTTTGCTGAACAATCCGGCAGCTCTTATATAGTAGATCTTTAACAAAAGTACTTATCTGTCAAAGCAAATGTCTGAAGCAAAGCGAAGCAAAAGTTGTATGTAATGCAGTCATAAAAGTAATATTTATAGTCAGTTGTAAAAAATTTTACAGAATCTTCCCGATAGCCACAAAACATCGTATATGGAAAAGGTCCATCATCCCGCTGTAAGAAAATTATATGTATTACAATGAATGATGGCTTGACATAAATACATATACACACAAATGTATAGATGTATATCATATATCATATTATATTCGAAAAAGTTACTTAATTTGCTGACTCAATCTGTTTACACACAATGCTTTCGATTAGAAACTAGAAACTATTTACTTATCTACTCATTTTTATATTTCCATGACGTCCAAAAATTTATATAACTTGGCAGTTCCTCATGTGGAAATACTCGATGAACGAGATTCAGCCACTCCTGAGAAGTATTATAAAGCTGGAAGTACCATTGAACTAAAATGTGTAATTTCAAAAATACCGCAACCGTCATCGTACATTACTTGGCAGCATGGTAAACGAATGCTGAACTATGACACCAGTCGGGGAGGAATCAGGTAATCGGCAAAAGTATCGCGTCAGACGTAACCACTAATTTATATTCTACTGTACCATAGCGTCAAGACTGACATACTTCCCGGAAGAGCATTGAGCCGTCTTTACATTGCCAACGCAAATCGACAGGACACTGGAAATTATACTTGCATGCTTGGCAACGATATTTCAGGAACCGTCATGGTTCACGTACTTAATGGTATATGACTAACAAGATATTTTTTTTTTATAATTTATTTATAAAATTAAGTTTACAAAAACTTAAATTGTATTATTTACAACCCAGGCGAAGAACCAGCCGCTATGCAGCATGCATCAGGAGCTAAATTATGCTCTCCGATTTCGATTGTGATAGTTACAATGATGGCATCAAGGATTTGTTTACGATGACAACAATAATACGAACTATTCGACACTAACACTAACACCACTTGTCCAAAACTGCATTTTTCATGTCCGCATATTAAAGGGTTGTTTAGGATATAAATAAAAATAGGTACATATTACAAATAAATGAACAGGATATGAAACCAACAATTTTTACAATACATAATAGAATAAAAATGTATATATAAATGTTCATAAATTATTGAAAAGAGTAATAAGAGTATGTATGTTGACACTTTGACTTTTTCATACATACTTAAACACACTTTAATATAATTAAATTTTTTAATTTTTATACAAATATTTAAATACCTGTATATTTATATTTATAATATTTCGCAATATTTATATTTATAAAATTTGGCAATAATCAAAAAACTGAATGCTATATTAATAATTTTAATAATAAGCATTTTCCACACCTCGTCAGGTCTTTATTAAATGTTTCATGGAATTTCAAAACTAATTTTAATATTTACTTTAGCTTTGAATTTTGGGTGTAATTTATATAAATATAACACTTGTTTAAAATCTATGAATAATTTCAGAACATAAAACTACTAAATTGTTATCAACATCTTCTAGGAAACAGTGTTCATATTACATAGTATACTATATATGTATTGAAATAAAAACGAGAGAATTATTTTACAACCAAAAACAATTTACAGAATTCAAAGCAAGGAAATCCTTTTATATCAATTAACATTCAAGTAAATACAAAATATTCAATTTAGAATTATAAAACGAGCATCTAAGACAACGCCAAATGCGAGAATTCGTTAATAAGATCAGAGAAATTAATGCATAAATACATTATATAAATACAAAAATTTCTGAGGCTAAAAAGCGTGAAAGAGTCAAAATTTTAACAAAGTAAGAAAAATAATCGAGTGAGATAATGAAACAATACTTATAGAGAAATAAAGAAAGGATAAAATTAAACTGGAAATCAAAATAAAAATAAATATGTACTCGTATTTATTTAAGCAACATTGTTACAATTTTTTACTCGTACTACAATACATTCATGTGTCGTTAACACAAGTCAATCATATTTACATACAAACGTAAATACATACCATACATATGTACGTCAGTATATATGTGTAATATCCATAAAAAATCTTGCGAAACATTTCCGCGATAGCAACTTAGAGTACTTACTAAACAGAATTAATAATTTTTTTTATTTAAAGAACATTAAGCTTGAAATTTAAAAATATATTCAAATTTCGACATATCTAATTCAACACAATTAATTGCCTCTTACCCAGATTACTTTCGGCAATGCCTTTATTTTATTAATGCAGTTCTATTACATTTAAAGCTCTTGAAAAAAAAGAGGTAAAGATGAGTCAAATAATTATAATTTTACTTTATAAGAACTTTTTAATAAATTTACGAAACTACACTGAATAGTTTTAATACATCTACATATTTATAACGATGAGATTCGCCCAATTTTTGGAGTACATAATATATGTATGTAGTCATACTATATTCATAACCCATATACAAATGTATAGGTATTTCATAATATTTACATAAAAATTTTAATGATTTTTAATCTTTCGAAGCTTTGGTCCACCACGCAAAATTCGTTTCTGGTAAGTATTGTTTGGCGCGACTCACCGGCCTATTTTAGTGGCGTTATAATTTTTATACCCTGAACAGGGTATATTAATTTTGCCACGAATTTTGTAACACCCAGAAGGAAACGTCGCAGACCATATAAAGTATATATATAAATGATCACCGTGACGAGCTGAGTTGATTTAGCCATATCCGTCTGTCTGTCCGTCCGTCCGTCTGTCCGTCTGTATATACGCGAACTAGTACCTCAGTTTTTGAGATATCGATCTGAAATTTTGAACACTTCTTTTTCTCTCCAAGAAGCTGCTTATTTGTCGGAACGGCCGATATCGGACATCGTTAAGGCAACAATGTAATCTCCGAATAAATTATTCAGATCGGATGACTATAGCATATAGCTGCCATACAAACTGAACAATCGGAATGAAGTGCTTGTATGGAAAACTCTTTCATTTGACAAGGTATCTTCACGAAATTTTGGCATGTATTATTATTTAAAGCATTAATCTAATATCCGAAGAAATTGTATGGATCGGATGACTATAGCATATAGCTGCCATATTAACTGAACGATCGGAGTAAAGTGCTTGCATGGAACATTTTTTTATTTGACGAGGTATCTTCACGAAATTAGGCACGAGTTATTGCTTAAGGCAACAAATTATTCTCCACAGAAATTGGTCAGATCAGATCACTATATCACATAGCTGCCATACAAATTCTTCATTCGATTGTTCAGTTTGTATGGCAGCTATATGCTATAGTCATCCGATCTGAATAATTTATTCGGAGATACATTGTTGCCTTAACGATGTCCGATATCGGCCGTTCCGACAAATAAGCAGCTTCTTGGAGAGAAAAGAAGTGTTCAAAATTTCAGATCGATATCTCAAAACTGAGGTACTAGTTCGCGTATATACAGACGGACAGACGGACGGACGGACAGACAGACGGATATGGCTAAATCAACTCAGCTCGTCACGGTGATCATTTATATATATACTTTATATGGTCTGCGACGTTTCCTTCTGGGTGTTACAAATTCGTGGCAAAATTAATATACCCTGTTCAGGGTATAAAAATTATAACGCCACTAAAATAGGCGGTGAGTCGCGCCAAACAATACTTACCAGAAACGAATTTTGCGTGGTGGACCAAACTTCGAAAGATTAAAAATCATTAAAATTTTATGTAAATATTATGAAATACCTATACATTTGTATATGGGTTATGAATATAGTATGACTACATACATATATTATGTACTCCAAAAATTGGGCGAATCTCATGTTATAAATATGTAGATGTATTAAAACTATTCAGTGTAGTTTCGTAAATTTATTAAAAGTTCTTATAAAGTAAAATTATAATTATTTGACTCATCTTTACCTCTTTTTCAAGAGCTTTAAATGAATAGAACTGCATTAATAAAATAAAGGCATTGCCGAAAGTAATCTGGGTAAGAGGCAATTAATTGTGTTGAATTAGATATGTCGAAATTTGAATATATTTTAAATTTCAAGCTAATGTTCTTAAATAAAAAAAATATTAATTCTGTTTAGTAAGTACTCTAAGTTGCTATCGCGGAAATGTTTCGCAAGATTTTTATGGATATTACACATATATACTGACGTACATATGTATGGTATGTATTTACGTTTGTATGTAAATATGATTGACTTGTGTTAACGACACATGAATGTATTGTAGTACGAGTAAAAATTGTAACAATGTTGCTTAAATAAATACGAGTACATATTTATTTTATTTTGATTTCAGTTTAATTTTATCCTTTCTTTATTTCTCTATAAGTATTGTTTCATTATCTCACTCGATTATTTTTCTTACTTTGTAAAATTTTGACTCTTTCACGCTTTTTAGCCTCAGAAATTTTGTATTTATATAATGTATTTATGCATTAATTCTCTGATCTTATTAACGAATTCTCGCATTTGGCGTTGTCTTAGATGCTCGTTTATAATTCTAAATTGAATATTTGTATTTACTTGAATGTTAATTGATATAAAAGGATTTCCTTGCTTTGAATTCTGTAAATTGTTTTGGTTGTAAAATAATTCTCTCGTTTTATTTCAATACATATATAGTATACAATGTAATATGAACACTGTTTCCTAGAAGATGTTGATAACAATTTAGTAGTTTTATGTTCTGAAATTATTCATAGATTTTAAACAAGTGTTATATTTATATAAATTACACCCAAAATTCAAAGCTAAAGTAAATATTAAAATTAGTTTTGAAATTCCATGAAACATTTAATAAAGACCTGACGAGGTGGAAAATGCTTATTAATAATTATTAATATAGCATTCAGTTTTGTGATTATTGCCAAATTTTATAAATATAAATATTGCGAAATATTATAAATATAAATATACAGGTATTTAAATTTGTATAAAAATAAAAATTAAATTATATTAAAGTGTGTTTAAGTATGTATGAAAAGTCAAAGTGTCAACATACATACTCTTATTACTCTTTCAATAATTTATGAACATTTATATATACATTTTTATTCTATTATGTATTGTAAAAATTGTTGGTTTATATCCTGTTCATTTATTGTAATATGTACCTATTTTTATTTATATCCTAAACAACCCTTTATTATGCGGACAGAAAAATGCAGTTTTGGACAAGTGGTGTTAGTGTTAGTGTCGAATAGTTCGTATATTGTTGTCATCGTAAACAAATCCTTGATGCCATCATTGTAACATCACAATCGAAATCGGAGAGCATAATTTAGCTCCTGATGCATGCTGCATAGCGGCTGGTTCTTCGCCTGGTTGTAAATAATACAATTTAAGTTTTGTAAACTTAATTTTATAAATAAATTATAAAAATATCTTGTTAGTCATATACCATTAAGTACGTGAACCATGACGGTTCCTGAAATATCGTTGCCAAGCATGCAAGTATAATTCCAGTGTCCTGTCGATTGCGTTGGCAATGTAAAGACGGCTCAATGCTCTTCCGGAAGTATGTCAGTCTTGACGCTATGGTACAGTAGAATATAAATTAGTGGTTACGTCTGACGCGATACTTTTGCCGATTACTGATTCCTCCCGACTGGTGTCATAGTTCAGCATTCGTTTACCATGCTGCCAAGTAATGTACGATGACGGTTGCGGTATTTTGAAATTACACATTTTAGTTCAATGGTACTTCCAGCTTTATAATACTTCTCAGGAGTGGCTGAATCTCGTTCATCGAGTATTTCCACATGAGGAACTGCCAAGTTATATAAATTTTTGGACGTCATGGAAATATAAAAATGAGTAGATAAGTAAATAGTTTCTAGTTTCTAATCGAAAGCATTGTGTGTAAACAGATTGAGTCAGCAAATTAAGTAACTTTTCGAAATATAATATGATATATGATATACATCTATACATTTGTGTGTATATGTATTTATGCAAGCCATCATTCATTGTAATACATATAATTTTCTTACAGCGGATGATGGACCTTTTCCATATACGATGTTTTGTGCTATCGGGAAGATCTGTAAAATTTTTACAACTGACTATAAATATTACTTTTATGACTGCATTAAACATACATTTTGCTTCGCTTTGCTCAGACATTTGCTTTGACAGATAAGTACTTTTTGTAAAGATCTACTATATAAGAGCTGCCGGATTGTTCAGCAAACACAGTTCTAGTTAGAGTATTGTCGGGTTAAGAGCAATTGAGACATAAGCAAGAAGTTGCAAGCTCGAATAACGAGCAATAAGTGTAAGTTGTTGGAATTAGAAATAAAATAAAAAGTATACATTAAATTGGGACTTTTATATAACAATCCAATGATCAAACTTAAGAGTGAGTTACAAGATAGACGATTTATCGAGCAGTCACTTCAGAAGAAAAGGACGTGGGACAAGTTTTAGATCGATATCTTACTGTGAGGGACTAGTTCGTGAATGTATATATATCTGGATCTCTGACGTTTCCTTCAGGACGTAACAATAAAGCCTTCGTTCTGTTAACGGACTCTTACAAACGAAATTCTTCAAATGAGAGTCATTCATTATATTTAATAATTCATGTCCAAATTGAAATATTAGCCTTTCGGATATTTCCAGCGTTATGTGCCGATAGACCATAAATCATTTAGATATGTGTTACATTAATGCCAAAATGCCCCTGACAACAAACGAGTTAAAACGGCGCTAACAGAGAAATGCACAAATATGTACATGTTGAATTTGCATATTCTTTATAACTTACCAATTACAGTTAAATATACTAACAATACTAAAGGCGGATGTGAAGAGACTTGACATTCGTACGGTCCTTCGTCGTGTTCATTTGCATATTGTATTGAAAGCTTCCAGTCATTTGCTCCTCGAACTCCAAGGAATACCTTGCGTCAC